TGCAACTTCACCACTAGATGACACTAAATACTACACATTGGTCCTTCAAACTTGTATAGTCAGATGTAATGACACAATGTACTGTGTACTGTGAGTTATAACTAGGAAAAACTGTTGGCTGGAGCAATGAAAATAAAATACATTATAATAAACTGTTTTCTGAAAAAATTGACCGTTAGCTAATTGACAGGTAAGAGAAGCAGCCAGAGTCAAAGATATGCAACTTTTAGCCTGTGTGGTTGATTTTACATCAACATATCGAATGCAGCATTCACACTATATCAGATGAAGCAATCACATATATTGAACTGCCTACAGTGTATCCTAAAAAACAGATATCCCCCCGCTATCCTAGACAAGACAAGTGAACTGTTTCTGGAAATCACAGGCTTTGCAATAAATCAAACATGAATGTGGCATAACTACTTTCTCCATGGAGTGGCTATGGAAATGAGCAAACATTAATCAAAATCTTTTGATTGACTGACTCTGCAGTAAACCTAAATGATCTAAAGTCAGACTGGAGTGTCCTTGCATCATTAGTTTGACCAGGCAGCACAACTTCTGAATGAAGAGAGGATTTATTGGTTGGATAGAGAGGAGACAACAGAGGCCTTGAGTTTTGTTGCTATGTTATTTTTGAGCTACAAGCCCAGAGGGTGGCCTCCGGAGTCCTCAGCAGCGCTGCGGACAGAAATCGTGGGAGATTAGAGAAAGAGGTAGAGAGCTGTAGCAATGAATTTGGTACATGAGGGATTGTGGGGGCTTACATCGTGATAGTTGGGTGATCTGTGAGTCAGATAGTGTCTAAGGTGATTTTCCATGCAGTATGTGAGCAGCACCTGGCTTCAGTGAATGGCTGAGGGGATAATCCTTCACAACAGATGAAAATCTTGAAAAATAAAGATTCATGCTAAAGAAGGGGTGTGTGTAGGATAGCCAAAGTGTGCCCCCATTTGACTACATTTAGAAAAATTAAATTTTATGCACAATCTTCAGTGCTGCGCTGGGCACAGTTTTATGGACGAATCCAGTCTTCTGTTCACTTATTAACTTTTCATGTCAAGGCCCCCCAAACTTTTCCATGTCAAGGCCCCCCAAATATCATTATCTTATGGCTGGGTTCCCCCCATTTGTCTTGAAAAATCCATTGAGAATATGTAGGCAAACCCTAATCTTTGAATAGATTTCCTTTTATGAATTACATTAGTCTTCATTAAAAATTCCATTAGATTCAATATATGCTGCTTTCAGATGAACGTAAAGGCTTAAACATGTGCACAGAGAGAACAAGAGGGTTGTTCGTCTTATTCTGCCTTCTAAGTACGGAAGTATGAGTGAACGCTGGCACGATATGCTGCCGCTGCTCGCCGATAACTTTTAACCTTTATCTTTTGAAACT